GGGCCTGCAGCTGCCCGGTGGGTGGCTGGATGGGGTAAAGGCCTGGCGCTTGTGCTCTGCCATATCTGCCCCCCCTGTGCCATCATCCTAAGCCTGGGTTCAGATTCTACTGGGCTTTGTGCGTGGACCTGAAGACCATTTAAGAAATGTTGTGTCCCAGACCACAACATGGGGGAGCTGGGCCAGTGAGAGCTGGGCTGTGTCCTGCTTCCTTGGCAGCCCACGCACTGAACGTCCTTCCCTGTCCCCAGGCTGGGGAGTGTGTGCGGGAGATGACGCCGGCCACACTCGGAGCAGCTCGGCAGATCCCGAGCGAAGCAGACCTCCTGCTAGCCCACCACCCGCGAGGCCCGGATGGGCAAGATGACGGCGCCAGGTGCGTGCGATGCAACGCGGCTAGGACAAGATGGTCTCGACCACAGTGACCCCCGTCCACCACATCTTTCAGAACAGCGCCTCTGGCCATGGGAATGACCGGACCTTGTCCTGGCCAAGCAAATCAATAAAAACCTGCCCCTCTCTTCATTCACTCACCCAAGTGCTGCCCCCCTTCAGCCAATGCCCTAACTTGGCTGAAGCCCCTTTTGCCTTCTCCAGGTGAAGCTCCTCCTGTGCAGGGGTCTGAGTGCCTGCAGCATTTGAGCAAGTTTCATTTACACTCCTCTGTGCCCAAAGACTCCATCTTCTGCCACAAACCTGACGGAGATTTACTGTAACTTGTATCCAAAATACAATTTACACGGAAAAACTCGAGACAAGAATGTACCCCAGCACTCTGGGATGCTGAAGCCGGAGGATGACAAGCTCAAGCCCAGCCTGGTCAATTTTGCTACTTAGTGGGACTCTGTCTCAAAATTTAAACAATGAAAAAGGGCTGGGGATGCCGCTCAGTATGAAGGGCCTGAGTTCAATCCCCAGTGGAAGGAAGGAAGGAAGGAAGGAAGGAAGGAAGGAAACAAACAACGAACTTAGGACATGTGCTGTGCTCAGCACTTGGTCTGGTCCTTTCCACGTCTAATAGTGACCGTGGCTGGACACTGAAGGTTTGTACAGCTGAGGCAGCCTGGATGGTGTCAGTCTAACATCCAAGCACAAACTTCCTCTCTCACATTTCAAAGATGCTTCTCCCATCAAAGTTGTTTCCCCTCTGGGTCATCCTGAGAGCAGAGAGGACAGGTAGGGACAAGGCAGGCAGGGACCTGGGAGGGACCCTGGAGGGCAGAGTCCTTCTAAGTGGGCACCACCTTCAGCATGTTTGCACGCTCGCAGGCCCCACACCTGCCCCTTGCAATACCGGTCCTGGCCTCCAGGAGCCGCAGTGCTGAGTGGCAATGTGGGTGCCTGAGAGAGCCCAGGCTGTGCCTGGGGGCAGGGGCTGGTGTCACAGTGACGCTGGCTGAAGTCTCAGGGACTGTCCATCGTGAGCTGGAGGAACATCAGAGACTACAAATCAGAAGCCTCAATATTGGAAGTTGGACTCTGGTTTGCTTTATCTGCATGAGTCTACCTTTTAAGGGTTTGAAAAAAGTAACTGACTTTCAAAATTCAAATGTAAAAGGCGATGATCTAAAGTGAGCCTGGGGAGAGTCACATGGAGAGAAAAAA